TCACCAGTTGGGCACTTTATCTTAATTCATTATTTCTTTCACATGTTATATTTATAGTATAAATATATAACAGAATAATCACATGAATGTCCCATGTTAAAGCCACTATTACCTCTTGATTCCACTTTGCTGTTAAGAAGCCAGATACTACACGAACAGAAAACTATGGCAGCCAAATTTTCTAAGAGAGAAAAGTAAAACGATTTCTCAACACTAGTTATTTTGCACACTTGATGAGTGTGAAATATAGTTAATTCAAAATTCATGTAAAAAATACTTAGATCAAGTTAGATGTAAAGAAAGACATTGTGACTATAAACAATCAAAACCTACCCTCCCCTTAAAAGGAAAAGTAAAAATCTCTGCCGAAATTCGGGTGTGCAGACACAACAATATAAGTCCTCTAATGGCATTAGTCAAGGACATAGTGTTTAATTTAGTACTATTAGGCTTTGAAGAGGAAGAAATTTATCAGCTCAACATTTCTGCAATTATTTTTTATATTAATTCCTTTTTAGCTTTTTCTAAATCTTGCAAGTTCTTCATTAAAGAAAAGCATCTCAAAAATCTTCTCATATTTTTAATGAAAAATAACCAAATAAAAATGAAATACTTAACATAAAAAGTAAGAATTTTACCATACAAGAAGCTTTGAAAGTGTACATTCCAGGATTGTGGCCATGGAAAACAATACCCAATATTTGAGGCATTGCTGATAGAATGATTCTTGATCACATTTTATTGCTCGAATCGAAGCATACCTGTTTAAACATATTTCAATTCCAACAGTCAAAAATTAATAGCACCCAATAAATGTAGAATTCCAATGAGGTACTTACAAGGGATACAACAGAGGAATTGATGGCCTGCAAAATTAAACAAAAAGGGTAAAAAAACATAATGTTAAAAACCTATTATTATGATCAAGAACAAAATTTGAGGAGAAAATGATGGAAGTATGCAACTTGCCAAGCAAGGACATTGAAGAATTGAGCGAAGATAATGACAAAATTGATCGAGTCCATGATACTGATGAGGATATTTTCAATTTCTTACAAAATTTGAAGAATAACAGAGGCAGGAGAGGAAAGAACAACTTGGGAGCTAAGAAAAACGAAGAGACTTCAAAGTCCAGGAAGACTAACAGACAAACAGTCAATGCAAATGAAAATGATTAACGCTGCTCGGACAGAAGATTGGGTGATGAGGTGGGGGTGACAATAATTGATTGGATATTTTTTTTTTTACTTTTTAAATTGTTCTATGTATTGACACGTCTCGTATTTTTAAATTTGCAAGGCCAAATGAAAAGAAAAATACTATTCATCCTCAATCTATGTGGATGTAAATGATTGATTAAATGATAATTTATTTAATTTCACATATCATTTAATGTCACATTAACGTCACATAGACTGGAGATGCATTCCCAGTGGGGATGAATCTTTGTATATTGTTGTTAATCTATCTTCAAATTTTTTTTTGAAGAATCGGACATTCCAACATTTCACTTACTTGTTACTACATCCCTTTTTTATTAAAGTCTGCTTAAAATGACAAATTGGACCTTCCCTTCAAATATATGAAAAAAAAAACAAAGAAACTAAATAAAAAATAAAGGAAAAATTGCAATAGAAGTTCCAAATTTTTTTCAAAAATTACCAACAGACCATCTTTCTCAAGGACCCATACCCAAATCACCGCAGTCCACTCTAAAACTCACTGGCCAGTTGCACACCATCATTAATTTTTCTTGACTCCGGAGGAGAATACACATCCCAGAGGTTGGTGCTTACTTGAAAAGCACAGGATTTGTAGACATTTTGCTTGCCATGGACGGATTTAGGGGGGACTAGGCCGAGCTGTAGCCGTTCTAGTCCCCGGCCTATTAATTTTTTTTAGTGTAAATTTTTTTCCTTGTAAAAAAAATAAAATATTATGTGTAAATTTATTTGTTTTCTGCATATTAGGATGATTTGTAGTTTGACCCTGAATCCCTTTTTGTTGCCTACTCTTATACTACACTCATTGGCATTGCACTTCATCCGAGTTAACTTATTCTCGTACCAAAGGCAAGTTTCGATCAATGATACAATCATACAAATGATTCAAAAAATAATTTATGTACCCAGAAACTGTAGGCCAATAAATATTTCCCCAATTTATCACCTCTATGATTAGTGTAGAAGCAAGAAAAATGAGAATTATCAATTGCGCAAAAAAAAAATAATAATAATAATAAAGAAGAAGAAGACAAGACTGAGTAAGCTCACTATTTCCTTCTCAATCTACAAACTAATTGTCACTCACCAAATACATCACATCAAATCCAAAAAACACCATAAAAATAGAAAATTCCATTCCAAAATTAACAAATGAGTTCATTGTCCGACGGAAGTTCAATCGTCTCCTTCAAGGATGGATCGTCTGAACACTCTCTAAAGAAATCATTGGACTCGTTATTAGCTTTGACACAACCAATGTAGTATTGGAAGCACTTAAAAATGCATACAAACAAGATTCTCAGGAGCTGAAATTCACGCTATGACAACAAGTGATATCTTCGAAACGAGGAAGACAGAAAAATTGTAGACCCTTTCTCTAAGCCAATGCCAAAGGCTTCTATCTCCATTACTTTTCTTTGTATATAAATATAAGTATTTTATTCTCTCGATAAAATAAAAAAAGTTATAGCTTCTTTAAAATATTTTTGCCTTCTTTTTCAGACTTTCCTCTGAATTATATGTATTTGATTGTATGCACTATCTTCAGAGGGAACAGGATAAAAACTTCCCTCAAAAGAATCTTACGATTCTATTCAACAGTTATACATTCAGACAATATTATTTACGATTCTCTTTGATACATCAATAGTAAGAAATTTTTATCATATTCATTGGGGATGAGAGATCAATTCATCTATCTCTATATTGTATTGTTCGAGAAATGGATGGATTTTTGTCTTTTTGTAGTTTTCCTCTTATTAATGCCATTTTTTCCCACTTGAATCTTAGGTGTAAAGACTTTGGGGTTTCGTCAACTTAATTAAGATAAGCTGTCAAAACCTTTAATGTAGCAGAATTTATCCTTACGTTGGATTTGGTACTTTTTGATGAGGTCTATTATTGAGGCCACAAGATTTTTTTTGGTTTGTGTTCATTCATGGGATACCCTACAAGTAGACAAATAATAAGAATGACTCGCACTGGCTTCAGAATTTGACAAGGAAGAAAGGAGAATTCTGAGTTGACGGCTCATTCTGTATTTTTCTTTGTTAGACCTGTCAAAGGGTTGTACTACTTGTACATTATGGTATCCATAATGGATGACATAATGTACAGGTGGCAGTACATTATTGGAGGGTGTGCTGGCCCATCGGCACACCCTCCAATAAGATAATTTCACTTGTACATTATGTCATCCATTATGGATGCCAACCCTCCAATAATGTACTACCACCTGTACATTATGTCATCTATTATGGATGCCATAATGTACAAGTAGAATTATCCTTTTACTAAACGTGTGATTAAAAATAATGTTTGATGTGAGAATAATTTTTTTTCTTTTATTAGAAAAATGGTACTCGATGAACGAATATTTCATCAAAACTTAGTTGTATCATATTTTTCTTTTATTAGCAATATGGAATCGTCAAAATGATTTTTCGACGTGTCAAAATCTTTTCCTCTTTAGAGGGTTGGAGGATGGCAACGGGCAGGCAGACAGCCCTCCCCCGCCCCATACTGCGGAAAATTTTCAAGATGCAAAAATGAAGATTAAAATACTTTCATTTATTGACTTATTTGTATACTTTTAATATTATTTTTTACTTTGTTAAATGTGATAAAATTTGAGATCGAGAATCGTCCCCGCATCCAACTCCTCAACGGACTAGACAAGATGGAGGCGAAGATATTTTGAAGTCGCCGGTCATTTTCCTCTATACATAATAATACATATCATGATTTGATTTTACCTTTTTCTTTCTTTTTTTAAGGAAAGACTTTCACTGATTGTTAGTGCCATGGAAACAATAATTGAGTGGCCTTTTGACTGAACACTCTTTGAGTTTGAGCATCCAAAACTTTAAAGTTCTTCTTCAAAAGAATTTCATATTTAATAAGTAATACTAAATAAAATATAGAAAGATATTTTGTTTGGTTCCAGAAATTTTCGGGTATTTAGTAAATGGAACCGTCGGTTCCAAATATAATTTTGGAACCGTTCGGGTTCGGTTCTGTTCTATTCGATTCCATACTATAATTAAATTTTAACATTTAAAATAATACTACATAAATACACTTGAAAGTAGATGTTAATATTAATAACAAAAAGTAGACATAAATACCAAGTTCAATCTTAACTTTTATAAATTAACGTAATCTAATTTAATATCGTATAAATAATAAGTTGTCAAATACAAATACGAAAAAGTAAATATTACTAATAAAACTTCGATATTCATATCAAT